CAAAAAAAAAAAAAAAAAAGAAACACCATTATGGACTGGTACTCTCAGTAGCAATGTTGAAGAAAATATCTCTAAAATTGAAAAGAAAATAATAATTTATTATTTTTTGAGTTGAAGTCTCACTTTGTCACCCTGGCTATAGTGCAGCAGCATGTTCAAGGCCACCACAGCCTCCACCTGCTGGGCTCAGATAATCCTTCCTCCTCAGCCTTCTAAGTAGCTGAAACTACAGGTGTGTGCTACCACGCCTGGCTTATTTTTTTATTGTAGAGACGAGTTCTCACTAAGTTGGTCCAGGCTGGTCTCGAACCCCAAACCGAGGCAATTCTCTTGCCTTGGCCTCCCAAAATACTGGGATTACAGGTGTGAGCCACCGTGCTCGGCCAGAGCATATTCTTTAGTAGTTTCTTGAGTAGGATACATAAGAGCAAATTTTTAAGTTGTTGCTCATCTGAAAATGTCTGTTCTGCCTCAAATTAGATTGATATTTTGGCTGAGTTTTATAATTGCAGGTTAGAAACTATTTCTTAGCCAGACATAGTGGCTCACACCTGTCATCCCAGCACTTTGGGAGGTGGAGGCAAGAGGATTGCCTGAGTCCACGGGTCGAGACCAGCCTGGGCAAGATGGTAAGACCTTATCTCTACAATCAATCAATCAATCAATCAATCAATCAATCAATAATCTGGGCTTAGTGGTGCACGCCTGTAGTTCCACCAGGGTGAGGTGGAAGGATCGCCTGAGCCCAGCAGGTGGAGGCTGTGGTGGCCATGAATGCATGCACACTGCTCTCTACCCTAGGTGACAGAGTGAGACTCTGACTCAAAAAAACAACAAAAAAAGAAATATAGAAGTAAATAGCCAAATAAACCAATAAAAGATGTGAAAGTAGCTGCCTCTGGAGAGAGGGAACAGGGTTGAGTGATATGGGACTAGTTGGCTGTTTTCTTTATAAGCCTTATAGTACTGCTTAATTTTTCTTTTAAATTAGAAATTCATTGTGGAATGATTTTTCAAACTATGTAGCAATATTACTAGTTATTAAAAATAAATTAAAAATTTAAAATATAGCAGGCCCAGCCCATGGTTACAATGGCTGTTCAGTAAAGGCTTACTGAATTTTAGCTGCCTGGGTCTTAGGCCAGGTTGTTTCTGTTCCCCAGAGCAATTCTGGGGTACAATGGGCTTTGTCTGGGAGTTGGGCATCAGTCACTCACTGGCCACCTTGATACAGCTCCCAAATATCTCCTCCTAACCCAGGTCTGGTCCCTCATCCTTGCAGCTTGCTGTCTTGGTTTCCTTATCTATCTTTCTCAGTGGACTAGAAGTCCCCTGAGAGCTGGATGTTGCATTTTTCATCTGTTCTTCCCCTGCCACCCCTCAGAGCCTAGCCCAAAGTCTAGAACCTGGCAGGTTCTCAGTGTTCAGCAATTCTCTCACACAGGAGTAAAGACAGGAGCTTACAGCCCAATGAACCCCTCGTGAAGGTAAAAGAACTATGGAAAGGGCAAGGTAGCTGGGTAAGCCTTGACAAGGTGGCAAGGTCTTGGCCAACAGCTTCCTCTGTACAACTGTACAACTCTTCACTTCGTCCTTGAGAAACGTTCTGTTGTGGTTCTGCCACTCAGGAGGCCACATGCCACACGAGGAGTGTCTGTCTTCCCCTATAACTGGCTAATACACTGCCCTTGCTACTATGGGCAACTGAGAGGGTTCAGGTGGTCTAGTTCAATAAACCCTTTCCCACAGTAACGTCAACTATTTTGGGAGGAGCACTGCCACATGCAAAGCATGCCACCAAGGCCTTACATGCAATGGCTCATTAAACTCTCATAGGGCTGGGCGCAGTGGTTCAAGCCTGTAATCATAGAACTGTGGGAGGCTGAAGTGAGAGGATTGCCCGAGCCCATGGATTCTAGAACAGCCTGGGCAACTATGCGAGACCTCATCTCTACAATAAATCAAAAAATTAGCCGGGTGTGGTAGCACACGCCTGTAGTTCTGGCTACTTGGAAGGCTGAGGTGAAAGGATTGCCTGAGCCCAGCACGTTGACGCTGGGGTGGTCATGAGTCAGGTGTTGGTCCTCTCCTCCCTCTCATCTTACAAGTTAGACAACTGAGAACTCTGCAGAAGCTAAGTACCTTTCTAATGTGGTCTTAACCACTATGATGGAATTACCAACAGCGGACTTTTGTTTCCAGTGGTGTCAGAGCTGGGGCAGACCTTTAATGAGAACATGAAGGCTCAGAGAGGAAAGTATGTCACTCCAGGTGATAGAGCTAGCGATAGAGCCTGGACTGGAAGCCTGTTTCTTGACATCTAGCCCACTGCTTGCCCACCATCGTGCAACAACCCCTGCTTCTGCCAGCCTATTTGGGAATGATGAGGCAGTAAATGATGCCACAAGGAAGGAACTCTGCTTCTTTGCCCAGGCAGTGTTCACAAGTTGACAAGGCAGGAAGGAGGTCCTCCTACCTTTCCAGCACCACTCTCTCCGCTGACAACAATAGACTGGTTGACTGGCTCAATCAGGCTCTTGACATTCCTGTAGGTCTGTTCACCCACAGTGAACACATGTGGCTTCAGTTTCTGAAACATCAACGGGTAAAAGGTCATGTGAGAGAATGCCCGTTTTCAAGGCATGGTTGAGCCAATGATGGCTGAGATGAGAAGGGTGTCGACAGCAGTGCCACGATGCTTCCTCCAGAAAAATTTTCTAGACGTAACAGTATTAGGCCCAACCGTGCGACCCTGATGGTGGCTTTATCTACTAATCTTCTCAGCCTAGAAGCAGTGCTGGCCTCAACCAGTCTATGACATTCACATTTTATATTCTTAACAGTTTTATTCTGTTGCATGTTACTGTACCCTGCAGTTTACAAAATTTTTACAAGTTACTACCTAAGTCTGCACACTAGTTGGATAGCTAACCCTATTTTATAGATGAGGAATATAAGGGTCAAGAGTTAAATAACCTTTCAAGACCACTCAGCAAGTAAATATATTCACATGAGTTAAAGTCCAAAGCCAATGTTCTTTTCTCCAATAAATATTGTCCTCAATGTGCTGACCATCAATGTTGGCACTGAAGAAACAGAAGGGACTACAAACTTGCTTTTGTAAGAAGAGAAGGCAGGGCAGAAAGTTGGGCTGGGCTCAGTGGCTCAGCCTGTAATCCTGCGCTTTGGGAGGCTGAGGTGAGTGGATTGCCTGAGCCCACGGGTTCAAGATCTGCCTGGGAACTTGGTGAGACCTCATCTCTACAATAAATAAAAAAATCAGCCGGGCATGGTAGTGCGTGCCTGTAATTCCGGCTACTCAGAAGGCTGAGGCGGAAGGATCGCTGGAGCCCAGTGGGTCGAGGCTGCAGTGGCCAGGAGTGGCCACCGCACTCCAGTCTGGGTGACAGAGTGAGACTCCAACTCAAAAAAAAAAAAAAAGAAAGAAAGTTGGTGAGATAGGGGCTCTCAGGAGAGACTTCCCCATGATGTATGGACTTCTGGAGGGCCAGGCCATCTGCATGATGTCCTGACAGCCAGGTCAGCAAAGACTACTTATCACAGCTTGCCAAGGGAGAAGGCACCTGTTCTGGATGGTGAGTGCCGTCCCTCTCTATACCTGCCCTTGCACCTGGAAGGTGCTTCCTGCCTCGCCTTCCTGAACCCAACTCCCAGAGTAATTACTCCCCTAGTGGGCTCCATTCACAGCCCCACCTCTACCTGAAGGATGAAGCTTTATGGATTCTCTCTGCTTGTTGTGGTGCTTCAGACCCTCACAACAGCTCTGGCTTTCTCATCTTCCTACTCTCATCTATTGTCTCTCTCCCCATGGCTTTTCTCCTGCCAGCAAGTGTGCTCTCGCCTCTCCCTGAATGCATCATGTACTTTAACACCAGCAAGCCTAGTTCCTGCCTGCACTACCACCCCCAAATAACTTTTTCTCTTCGAAGTGTAAGAATAATTTATTTTTCTCAGTAGAGGTAAACATGTGTTGAATTTTCTAGGGCAATCCACATCACACATAACTTTATTTTTTTCTATAAGAGTTTGTTAAACACACAACTATAACCTTTAAATTCTTTCCTATCAATAAACTCACAAACAAGGAAAAAAAAGTCCTTGACCCTATGTCCCTATTTTAGGTAATACAGTTAAACAAGTATTTATTTATCCTCCAATTCACACTTTGTGTCTTGCAGTCAGTTATTTATGTTTTCAAGATTCTGTGAGCTCCTGTTGGGGCATGGCACCAGCAGGTTTTGAAAGACTACATGGCTAGTGAATAGATAGATAAGGATGGGGAAACTGCAAGGAGGCCTAGGAGGAGACTGGGAGCCCTGAGGCCACAAGGAGCAACTGAGCCTTACCTGTGGCTGAGGAGCAGCATGGTATTCTCTCATCAGCTCTGGCGAGTAGAGCTGAGGAATGGGCTTGAAGGGGTTCAGAGCCACCAGGGTGCAGCCAGCATTGGTGTAGAATTTGTCTGCCATGTACCGGGCCTGCAGGCACCTCAGGACTGAGGCAGAGATGCCTTTAGCAAACTCTGGCTCAAATACAGATAAAACCACACACACAGACACACTTCTGCCTAACAGTCCTCCTTTTGCAATTAGATCCCAGCAGCTCCCTGATGAATAGATGGAAGATCTAATTAAAATGAGCTCCCAATCTGAAGCAGAGCCTTCCCTGGGGAACCTAGGTGCAGCTGCCATGCTCCCTTGGGCAGAGGTCTGGAGCAGCCCAGGTTAGCAGTCCTGCCTGCTTCAGTATGACCTGGGGAAGCTGTGCTCACAGCATCTCCACCCTTATAGATGGTACTCTTGAGGAATGGGAGGCCCATACCTGTCTCCAGCGTCACAGGATTCACCTTGGTGAGGTCATCCAGCTGGTGCAGTGGGGCTTCCCT